CCTGTATGCCAGAGCCTTCATATGCTCGGTCGACGTGATTTCATGCGTATCAATGTATTGGAGACAAGTCCCGTATGCGAATGACCTTAGTTCTTGTTGTGATGTTCTTGTGAATGTCATCACCAACATGAGGCTGTTGATGGCTGAGCGACGTGGGCTACGAGTGCCAACTGCTGCCTGTCCACGAAGTTGGGCCAGGTGTGGAACTTTGAGAATAGTGGCCTTATACATAAGAGGAAGTCCATCAACATCTCCACGGCGTTGAAGGCTCTTGATGTTCTGATCAGTCCAATCAGAATGGATCAAGACTAGAGCCGCTCTTCTAATGGTTATTCACCTTCTTGAGATATCTTGAGATGATTTCGGGTCTTTTTAGTGTCCCCGCGGCCCGGTCCTCGACCAGGCCTCCAAACCTTGTCCAAAATTCTGATGAATGATGGAAAGGGGGGGGGGGGGTAGGGACACTCAAGATAGGAGCGAAGATGTGCCCCAAATAAGGTGTTACAGCTCCTGCTCTCAAGAAGACATGAGATGTGTCGTGGGGCTGTACGTTTCCTGGCTGCCTTGTATGGCTAGGTTGAGCTTGTGGGGGGGGGGGGCTTTTCATGGTCACTGGAGAGTCCAACTTCATTTTCAAGATGTTCACCTCATCACTAAGCACGAGGTGTTTGCCCAACCTCTTGTATGTCTGTCAGATTTGTAATATTACCCGGTGTGGTTATCATCGCCTGTTATCTCTGTCGCAAATGTGGCCTCCCATCGCTTCCCATTCCTTCTCTTTCCCTCTCTTCCATCCCCGACTTCCTCCCTCCCTCCCTCCCGTTCCTCTCTTCCTCCCATTCTCTATTACTACTTCCTTTCCTCCAATCTCTTTTTTCATCATCTTTGTCTTATTACCTCCCTTCTCTAGCTTTCTTCCTCCCATCGTATGAACAATCCATTAACTCTTCCCTCCCCCGTCCGTTCGTCCGTCTCTCTTCTTTCTCTTCTCTTCTCTTCTCTTCTCTTCTCTTCTCTTCTCTTCTCTTCTCTTCTCTTCTCTTCTCTTCTCTTCTCTTCTCTTCTCTCTTTCTTTCTTTTTTCCACGGACATAGACACTGTCAGCATGAATCTTGGTAAGGGTGGTAATGACCCCCACCACTGATCTTAATTCTTCGACAACCAAGATTCCTTTCTTGCACACACACACACACACACATACACCTGAGCCATCCTGGGTGGCGACGTTCCCGGTAACCTCTCCCAGACACCGTAGACCACCACTTTCCCCACAAACTTTATCTTACTCTTGAACAAATCCACAAGGGCCGTGGCGAGGATTCGAACCTACGTCCGAGAGCATCCCAGACGCTGCCTTAATCGACTGAGCTACGACATAGTATAAGAATTACAACCAGAAATTTTACTGAATTTACTTCTTTTTTTATCTTACGAGTTTATCTTACGAAAGTTTATCTTACGAAAGTTTATCTTACTCTCACTACAACTTTGACTTACTATTAC